TACAGTCGTCGGGTCTTCTACGGAACGCGTGCTCACGTTTGACACCAACATCGCGGCTCGGAAACGAAAATTCAGCCTCGGAGGTCCGAACACAGGTTCGGAAATTAGAATTGGCCGCCATGACCATGCCCACGGTAAAAGCGTCGTAGCTTCGCGAAAGCTTTTATTTCACTCGTTCAAAGTGGTGTCCATAGAGTCTAGACAGAACAAGGAACACATCGGTGCTAGCGGCGATGAGATACGACCAGTATTAATGAAGTAAGTGTCTATTCTGCCGGCAGCCGGCAGAATAACCGGGGGGGGGGAACAAGTGCCGGCAGTAGTCGCCTATTGGGTCTCGTATAAAACGGATTGTAAACACGCCTATTCCCAGCTGTGGATTAGCGCAGAGGACACGCACTCTACAATTAATTGAAGGAGAGCAGCCTACGAAGAGGTACCTACATGCCGAACGAGAGTATGTGAAGAAAAAGTCGGTGTCATTGCTAATACTGAACGGCCAGGAACTGAAGAATGAAAGTGATATTCACCAGGCTTTTGTCTCGCATTACACCAATCTTTTTGCAACAGGCACTAAGGCACCTCGTCCACGTTTGCGAGAGATATTATCAACACTACCCTGCTTAGAAAACGACACAACGGAAAAACTTAATTCACCCCTGGATGTACAAGAAATTATGCAAAACATCTCTGAAATGAAAAGTCACAAAGCTCCTGGTCCGGATGGATTGCCTGCTAGCTTCTTCAAGAAGTGGAAAGAAAAATTAGCCCCCATACTTTGCAACGTTTTTGAAGAATCTTACACCACGGGTTACTTACCGCTGTCATTTCGTAAGGCTCATACAATACTAATTCCTAAATCGAAAGACCCTAACAAGCTTAAAAAAATTGAAGGCTATAGACCTATCAGCCTCCTCAATACTGACTACAAAATCCTGGCTCGGTTAATCGCAGGGAGACTTCAAACTGTCATAACCCAAGTCATCGGAGAACACCAAACATGTTCAATAAGAGGAAGAAATATACAGACAAACCTCCACATTGTTCGATCAATGCTAGAAATATGCCAACGCACACAAGAAGCAGCTGCTATTTTACAGCTTGATCTCGAAAAAGCTTTCGACAGAGTTGACCACTCATTTCTTTTTGCCCTGTTGAAGCACATACGGGTCGGCGAAACTCTTGAAAAGGGCATCACACTTTGCTACAATAGCATATCGACTAAGTTAATTATAAATGGGTCTCTTTCAAAATCTATCCCCGTTTTACGCTCAGTACGCCAAGGCTGCCCAATGTCCCCGCTACTTTTTAATATCTACTTAGAGCCACTCTGCAGGGTCATCATCAACGACACAAAGATACAAGGTTTTCAACTTCATGCCAGCGAAGTAAAACTCCTGGCGTACGCAGACGACCTGGCCCTCATTTGCTCCAACAAACCAAGCATAGAGACAGCTATGTCACATGTCGAAGACTACTGCCATGTGTCTGGTGCTTCTGTGAATAAGGCTAAAAGTAGTGGATCGTGGTGCGGGGAGTGGGGATCAACACCAGCCAAGTTCGTTGACATTGAATGGTCTAGAAACAAACCGCAGCTTTTAGGGGTGCCACTCAGTGCGATGGACAATCCAAAGTCTATGTGGGATTCTGTAGGCACAAAGGTGAAGTCAGCTGTACGCATGTGGAGCCAACGATACCTTTCTACATTTGGGAAGGTTGCCGTATGCAATATCTTCCTTTTGTCAAGGCTAACATACCTTTTACAGGTTATGCATTGTTCTAGAATTACAGTTAATGAGTTCAATAGAGTTTTCGCGACATTTATTTGGAATTCGTCGTACGAGCCTATGCGCAGATCTAACCTTTTTCGACGAACGGAAGATGGTGGTCTAGGCCTCGGTCACATCTTTGTGAGACAGCTAATCGCGAGATGGAAATTTTTTAAAACTCCCCAACACCCGTTCCTAGAAGCGTGCAAAGATTATTTTTTACCAAAGTATACGCAGGCACAAATATCTGGAATTCCATCGAATGACGCAATCCGTTTACGTGGATTTTATAAAGAGGTCGCAGACACCATTGAATTTTTGGGAGCACGTTTCACAAGCGCTTTCTTGGAGTCGTGCTCCAAAAAGAAATTGCAGAAATGTCTACTTGTGTCTCTATTCCCTGATCCACTATATCGCTTGAGTCCTTTCAATGCTCCTTTAAATTGTATTACGGATGTTTTAAAAAGAGTGAAACGTATGCCTATACCACCAAAGTGCAAGTCGTTCTTTTTCCGCTTTCACTCCCGAACGATACCGGTGAAAGAGTGGCGTGAATCCCGGGGATTCGATGTATTTTGGAGCACTAACTGCAGATTGTGTAACACCACTGAATCATTCACTCATGCATTCGTACTATGTGTTGATGCTGTATTTTTTTGGGACGTTTTCAAAAGAACAGTCAAAAAGGAATTTGAAGTTGAGGAGAGTAACTTTCGTTACCTGCATTTTGGAGACCGTCTAGATACGGTCCTTGACACACTTGTGGTACTTGCCTTATATAGCCTATGGAAAACACGGAAAGTGGACACGGATGGGGGTGTCGCCAAACCTTCCTGGGTAAACTTCAAGAATATCTCTATATTTGTTGGTCAGAGCTTGTTGGCACGCTCCGAGGACGATGAATGGAAAGAAATTGTAGCAAGTATCAGTCGTTCACCAAACATCATATAATTTTTTTTATGGAAATACAAAGAGTTGTATACGCTGTCATGGACTTAATGACAGAACCGCGTCGAGAAAGATAGATGTAGTTTCTGCTAAAATCTTGCACAATTCGTACTGAGCTGCAATATTTGCTCTCTAAAGAAGTTTACTACAAACGTCCGGCGAGCGAAGAATGTGAAGGCATATTTTACGTGATGATTTTTTTCGCTTCGATGATTTGTACATAGTGTATTATACTGTTTTCGTGTATATAAATATGTAAATAAACAATTTCCAAAAAAAAAAAAAAAAAAAAAAGCTGTGGATTAGCTCAGTGGGTAAGATGTGCGCTTCGTACACAGCAGGATCTTAGTTCAATCCCCTGAGAGAATTTGTTTTTTTTTTTTTTTTCTTCGGACTTTTGTTTTTTGTTGAGGTATTAGGCGATATTTACGGCATCTCTCTTTTAGAATTAACACTAAAAAAACACGCAAAAAAAAAAAAAAAAAAGAAAAAACACCAGAAATCAGCCGAGTTCTCCGAGCGGTTTTAATAGGTCGATAAAAAAACTTTTGCGTTTGCTATCTCGAAGAAATTTGACACACAAACAGTCCTACCTGGTGCGAGACCCTTCCCCAACAATTTGATAGTTGTACCTATAATTGTTTTCTAATTACGAGCGGGGGCGGCAGCTCTTTGAAGAATATCAATCCACTCGTGCTCGGGAGACCGTCCCTGTTGATCGAAAAGTCTCGATTGAGATGAGCTGACACGGTTTCACTGCACGCACATTTTCCTACGATGTTGTTTTCACGACCACGATCGATGAATGCACTCCAGCGGTCTTGAATATTCACGGGTGAACGATTGAACTTGGTCGGGGTTTTTAATCTCCAAGCAGAGTCCCAAAAACCTGTTTTCGCGAGTATAACGAGTTCTAGACGAGCTGGAGCGATGAAAATTTAACAGTGCGTCTAAATTCAGAGCGCGATCATTCGCTGCGACTATCGTAGTTTTCTTTATACGAGGATATGCCAAATCACACCACCACAGAATGAAGCCTTACACGTAAACTTTTTAATCAACACTTTCTTATTAGATTAGCTACATCGATGAGACGCGCCTATAATGTTCCTCGGAACATCCCACTCGCCTGGTTAAAATAAATGACCCAGCTAGCACTTGTGGATTGATATACTTGAATACAAAGTACAGAGATACAAAAAAAGAAGAGAAAACGCAAGTTCAAAGGCTGTATAGATAATACAACGCCGCTGACAGCGTCTTGCAATAAGCGCAACAGAGAACGTTAAAAGAATGCATGTGCTCGCTTTTGGGCGAGCACACACATAAAAAAACACATTTCTTTTTTTTTTTTTCACGATTACCACAGGAAAAAGTCAAATTTCTGAATAACACTGATAAGGTACTTACTTCGTTTCCGCAGGTGTGCACAGCAGGGGCCTCTTTGTCAGTTTAACCTCAGATTGTTATATTATATTAAAAACGCAACACCAGGTAATCCGTAAAATGGGAGAGCGGAACAGGGGAAAATTGTAATGTAATAGCTCACAACAAAGTTGGGAGGAGTGGCAGTAGTGGGCAAGAGGAAAATTAAAACACCATGCAAAGAGTTACACAACAAACAAACGCTCGATCGACTGCAAAACATTGTCAGATATAAATCTGCGACGAGGTAGGCTGCTTCATTCTGTTATGGTTCTGGGAAAAGAGTATTTAAATGCATTTGTAAGCAGATCGAGACCCTATGGCGTCGGGAAGTATTTAAATTCTTTTTTTTTTTATATTTGGTTTCTATTCATTTACACTGCAGGCCATTTCCAATCCCCAAGCAGGGTGCGACGAGAAGGAACAAAAAAATAACAGTAAACCGACAAATCTGGTACACTGGAGATCACAAAAAGAAAGAAGAAAAAACACAAGTTCAAAGGCTATGTATAGATATAACAGAACGCCGCTCATAGCGTCTTGCAATAAGCTCAAACATAAGAAAGAAGAATTTATGTCCTCGCGCTTTTTTTTTTTTTTTTTTCACGATTACCACGGGAAAAAATCAAATCTCTGAACAAACTGATAAGGGACTTACTTCGTTTCCGCAGGTGTGCACAGCAGGGGCTTCGTCCTCACCAGCAAAACACAAAACAACAGATTTTTCCTTTTTTACCTCACATTTTAATAACCTCACACTTTATTAGGCCGACAATGCAAGTTTGCAGACGAGAGCTGTCTCGATGAAAACACACTCGTTCCTATTCAGTGAATTCGCACGAGCTAACACGATTTCATAAAAACACTTTTTGCTTGGAGCAAGTTCTCAGTTGCCATTCAAGCGGTCTTGATTAAGCACAGGTCATCCGCAGCTGAAGGAGGTCACTTGAAACGGAGGGCCAGCCGTGCAACTCGCTCTTGCGCTGCACAAAAAGACAATCTTTAGCGCCCTACATTAAAGATGCACCGAACGTTCTTACGCCATACACATATCTTTTTTTCTTTTCTTCCGTGCGTCAGAGAGTGATGAAACGTTTGAGTTCGTAGAGGCCGGCTTCCTAGCTCCGCGCCGCCGCCGATTCCGTGTTTGATAAAAAAAAAACTGCTCCGACTTTACTCAACAAGATTAACAATTTAATCAAACGTTTCGTCTCCCATCCGGGAAACATCGTCAGTGAAACCTACAAGCAGGAATGAGGGGAAAAAAACTCGATTCCGTGTTTCGCGTGAAAAGAACAAAAGAATTCGTGCAAGAAGTCGGCTCCAACGGTCGCCCATGCACGCTGTGCGGGTTCAGACATTGCCTTCTTTGCTTTAGCTCACTTCTCTTCACCAACTTTCTTTCGCGGCACATTTTTCACGTACCGGGGTCCCCCTCGAAAGAAAGCCCACCAGGAAAACCTAAGTAATCAAAACTTGGCCAAGCAGTCATTGAGTTAGAGAGGGATTTTTATAGCAGCGTATGATTTAAACAAGAGCAGGAATGTCGACGCGTTTCAGTTTAGAAATATCTGCAGCGACGTGGGGACGGCAACACACGACGTCGCACGAAGCTCAAAAAGTAACTCCCGCCGCGCAAAAACGTGGTTTTGTTTCACAGCATGACGGCATGTTTGGCATCCGATACACTAGAGACGAGATTTTTGAGACGACGAGTACACGAAACGCGAGACGTCGGGAAAAATCATGCAAGACCAAATAGACGATTGATACAGGGTACTTTGTGTCGGGTGGCGTCTTGTGCGACCTAGCTTACACAATTACGGTTCTCAGTTTAGTTTCGTTATTGAAAGGCGACCAAAATTGCTTCTTTGGCGCAGATTAGCCATATTTCGGTGAAATGTAGCAGGATGTAGCAAGGTTAGCCCCTTGGTGCAGTTTGGCGCAATTATCACATCACTGGTATTCCATCATTTCGCGATGGAATACGCGCTTCAAAATACACTTTATATCTTTGCCGAGCATGGACCTATCAAAAAAAAGAACTTGCATCAAACACGCATAGGGAATTTTTGCTCGCGCTCTGGGAAAGAGCCTTCAAAAAAACGACCTGGATCCGTGGCGCCGTCTCAGAATAAGGGGAAGAAACGAGGCTAAGAACATAGAACTCCGAAAGGAGACGATGCACGGAGAAAAGAACAGTTGCAGAAAAAAGATGCTTCGTTTCTGGAGCAGCAGAGGGGAGCTATTATTTATTCGCATTTATAGTCTGACACTTTGAGCACTTTCCGAAAGCTAATGAAAATGTCCAATAGGCGTACAAATATTTTGAATTTAAACGGAATTATTTTTCTTTATATTTCGATCTAACCGCCTAAACTAGTTTTCAGGCGCTCTGGGTAGCTGGTCGATTTAAGTTAATAAAGGTAATAATAAACGTAGATACAGACTCCTAATTTCGTGTGCCGTTATAGAAACGTGTGCGCTAAGAGCACAGAATAATAAGACTCGTCTGAAGGGATTAGTTCATTTTTATTTTTAATTTTTGCCTGATCTTAGACGATCGAATCGCGGCTCGAGCGCGCTGCGGACTCCACCGCTTCACCTGCTTCACTCTCTAACGCAACGAGAAATACTCTTACGCACATCGAAGTGTATATTTTCCGAAAGCTAATGAAATTCTCCAACCGGTGTAAAAAGCATTTGATTTTAAACGGAATTATTATTCTTTTTTTTGCTGAAAAACCCAAACCACTTTTTTTTGGCAAATCATCGGATTCAAAAACTCGAATTAAAGGATAGTATAATGGACGTACACTTACCCCAATGTGTCGAACGAAAGGAGGCCCTTTGACGAAGGCAGGAACCGTGAGGCGACGTTCGGGGTCCGAGGAAGAAGAAGACCGATTTCGGAACAAAGAACAAAGCAGGAGCTGGACACGGGTGACTACGCGACTGCTCCGAAGCACAACCGAAACCACACTGGGGCCGGCCTCTCGGAACAAAGGAAAGCGGAGGAGGATGAGCGAGGAGGAGAGAGAAAGAAACAAAGAGAAAGACAAAAGAACAAACGAGCAATTAGCGGGCCAAAGAAAGAAACCGGGGGGACAAACAAAGAGAAGGAAAAAAAGGATGGATGGATGGATGGATACGGCTGAGCCCTTTGGATCCGGCGGTAGCTTACGCCACCTAGCCACAAAAACGTCGGGAAAGTGGATCGCGCCGCCTGGTAGAGGGCAGACACACCACTCGCCTCGGCTAGTGTGTCTGCCCTCCGCCAGGAGGCACTCATTTTTATTTTGCACTATTTATTAAGGGAAGCATTCTCGTTGATCTCCCTTCATTAATACTGGTCGTATCTCATCACCGCTAGCACCGATGTGTTCCTTGTTCTTTCTAGACTCTATGGACACCACTTTGAACGTGTGAAATAAAAGCTTTCGCGAAGCTACGACGCTTTTACCGTGGGCATGGTCATGGCGGCCAATTGTACTTTCCGAACCTGTGTTCGGACCTCCGAGGCTGAATTTTCGTTTCCGAGAAACGATGTTGATGTCAAACGTGAGCACGCGTTCCGTAGAAGACCCGACGACTGTAGTTTACCTCTCATCGAGTCGATAGTTTACTGTACGCGACTTCCCGCAGGAAAGCAGTCATTTTCGTGTTCGATATTGCTCACCGCTTCATCATTTGCTACCACAATTTGCTTTTTTGTTCTGAAGTGCTCCCTCGGGTAAAAGGAACGGTCGCTATGCGCGCGAGATTAATTTAATTCATTCATCTGGTGCGGCGCGCGCTCGGCGGAGCGGCTGGTCGTTTGAAGGCTCACCAGAGCGCGAGCAAGACCCGCGTCGAATACCGATATTTCATCCAACTGCTTCTTGATAGGTCTATGCTCGGCAAAGAAAGCTTTCACTATAAAGTGTATACTCTATAATTGAGCTCTAAAGCGCGTCCGCCGCGAAATGATGGAATACTGCCTCGGGAAAGGAGATGACAAGGTTCATTTTGAAATTGAGGTGTGCGATCAAACTATAATAGGGGGAAAAAGGCATTCCACAATTCTGCGAGCCTGGCCTAAAAAATATATTTGGCGTGAGATCGTTTCGCGTATCTTTTTAAATGTAGGGCGCTAAAGATTGTTTTGTCTTTTGTGCAGCACGAGCGTGTCGCACGGCTGGCCCTCCGTTTGAAAGAAACCAATGGCCTCCTGACCCGAGTCTTCTTCAGCTGCGGATGACCGCTTCAATGGAAACACCGATTGTGACAACTCTCTGCGAGCAACATATGTGTGAAATCGTGTTATCTAGCTCCTAGGTTAAAAAAACAAGAACACTATACGAACTGTGAGATTTTCATGGCAGGGTACTAATAAGGAAGTGTGTTTTTACATTGAGACAGCTCGTCTGAAAAATTGTATTCTTGGCCTAATAAACTCTGAGGTCTCAAAAAGAAATGAGCTGATTCTTGTTTTTCTGGCGCAGTGAAGACTCGTTAAATGAGCCACTTCTTTTTTATTTATGTCTTCAGGCCCCTGCTGTCCACCTCGGGAAAAGGTTTGTTCCTGCAGAGCTTTTTGTAGACACGCCCCTACAGTACAACTGGCCTTTCTATTTTCTCCCCTTGTGCACTTTCAGGAACAAGATGAGCTCAGCTGAAGCATGAGTAACCTTCTAGCTTGCTACCTGTTCAGCTTCAACCCTCAAGCTACGTCCGTTTTCCCTTGACGGCCAAAATCTGAATGCAGGCGTTGTTTCTGCGCCAAACCAAAAGTGTGCCTTTTGTCTCCGAGGGACGTTCATTCTGTGTTATGGTCGTCTTTTCCAGAGACGGTGAGGACAAATACACATCTGTGCTGCAAGAGGGACTCCACACAACCCTACAGAGCTTTTTGTATACATGCCCCTAGAGTACAACTGGCCCCAACTTTTGCGTGTGCTGTCTCGAAGAAATTTGACACACAAACACTCCTACCTGGTGCGAGACCCTTCCCCAACAATTTGATAGTTGTACGAGCGAGCGGCAGCTCTTTGAAGTCTTGCTCGCGCTCTGGTGAGCCTTCAAACGACCAGCCGCTCCGCCGAGCGCGCGCCGCACGAGATGAATTAATTAAATTAATCTCGCGCGCATAGCGAACGTTCCTTTTACCCGAGGGAGCGCTTCAGAACAAAAAAGCAAAGTGTGGTAGCAAATGATGAAGCCGTGAGCAATATCGAACACGAAAATGACTGCTTTCCTGCGGGAAGTCGCGTCAGTGCCCGTACATTAAAATATCGACTCGATGAGAGGCAAACTACAGTCGTCGGGTCTTCTACGGAACGCGTGCTCACGTTTGACACCAACATCGCGTCTCGGAAACGAAAATTCAGCCTCGGAGGTCCGAACACAGGTTCGGAAATTAGAATTGGCCGCCATGACCATGCCCACGGTAAAAGCGTCATAGCATCGCGAAACCTTTTATTACACACGTTCAAAGTGGTGTCCGTAGAGTCTAGAAAGACCAAGGAACACATCGGTGCTAGCGGTGACGAGATACGACGAGTATTATTGAAGCGAGATCGAAGAAAGGATCGGTGCCTAAAGTGAGGAAAGCGAATGGCTGGCTTCGATGTGAAAACTTTCAAACGCCGTTTATTTCGCGAAACTCGCATCACACAAGAAAAGAAATCGGTCTCTGTCCAGTCCAGGGGCGGCTGGGAACAAGTGTCCCCCATTTGATATCGTAAATTCAAGGTCGTAATATAGATTTCAGAAATTCAATATTTTCAATGGTAAAACAACAGGCACCAGGTGGCGGGATTTACCGACCGGTCGGAATTGCTCAGCTGCACTCATGGATCCATTCATTCGAAACGGGTCATCTATCTATTCATTCATAAAAAATGTAATTCCTGGCCGTGTTTTAAAATTAACGAAATCATACTGCGAGGTAAAGCTTCTGTACACCTGGCGTTTTGAAACCTGCCTGCGTCCAGCGTTCTTTCATTTCTGCTGTCACGTGACACGATCCGCCCGAGTAACTCGGGTTTATTAGGGTGAGATTTGAAACACAGCCCTGGTTTAATAAAACCAAACTTAGAATTACGGGAATCGTCTTATTTTTGAAAACGATGTCGTCGAGACCCGTGTTCCACAACAAGTTTAAATTATTTAGGTCAAGTATTTAGAAATTTACCGCCCATTCGTGGTTCTGGTTTGGTTTTTGCAAAAAAAGCAAATGGCTGCCGCGTGTTTTGCTCGCAACCGGAGGTGATTCAATCGCACGAAGCTCGGAAAGTAGGCTAGCTAGGACATTTATTTTAACCAGGGAGTAAGATTATGTTCCGAGGAACATTCGAGGCGCGTCTCATCGATGTAGGTATTCTAAAAAGAAAGTTATCAACAGAAGTTTACGTGTAAGTAAGGCTTCACTGTACGATGTTTTGACTTCACATATGCTCGTATAAAGAAAACTACGATAGCTAGAGGGTTCTAATTCGCAGCGAATGATCGCGCTCTAAATTTAGACGCACTGTTAAAATTTTATCGCTCCAGCTAGTCTAGAACTCGTTATATTCGCGAAAACAGGTTTTGGGACTCTGCTCGGAAATTAACAAGCCCGACCAAGTTCAATCGTTCGCCTGTGGATATTCAAGACCGCTGGAGTGCATTCATCGATTGTGGTCGTGAAAACAACATCATAGGAACATGTGTGTGCAGTGAAACCGTGTCAGCTCATCTCAATCGAGACTCATCGATCAACAGGGAGGGTGTCCCGAGCACAAGTGGATGGATATACTTCAAAGAGCTGCCGCTCGCTCGGAATTAGAAAACCATTAAGCTATCCAATTGTCGGGAAAGGGTGTCGCACCAGGTAGGAGTGTTTGTGTGTCAAATTTCTTCGAGATAGCAAACGCAAAAGTTGTTTTATCGACCTAATAAAACCGCTCGGAGAACTCGGCTCATTTCTGGTGTTTTTTCTGTTTTTTTTTGTTGTTTTTTTTTAGTGAAAAAAGATGACTCTTCAGATTACCATTTCTTTTAGGTAATTGAGAAGTTGCATTAAAGAAACGGCCTGCACAGTAAATACAAATGGTTCTATTGCGATTATTTCATAACTGAACCAGAAAAGCACATTACTGCTCATGTCTAGGAAACTAAGAGTGCTAGAGCGACGATTCATTTTTGATACGAGTGCTTGCTTTCCTCCTGTAATGAACGAGCCCAGGTTGGTTAACACAGCTGGTGTCAAAGTTTATGTACGAACGCAAAAGCTGAAGGTAGTCCTGATTTTTCGAGCCTTTGAACAGGGGCGTGGGGTTTTGTAGTGTCTGAGAATAAAGAGGCACTGCAGACAAGAAGACTGTGTCCTCGGTGTTGCTTGCCCACCCCCGTAAGATGTGGAGACACACTTCATTGAAAACCTACGTGATTTACTGAGACAGGGGTTTCTGCAGAACCCCGTAGGGGGCTGTGCAGAGAATACAGGTCGACATCAAGCCTTCAGAACTCACAGGTACCATTCGACAAGAATGCTGTAGCTGGACTTGAAACAAGCCGACGTGGGAAAGTACAGAAGCCGAGAAAACAAATGTGTCGGCCAAGCCGTAGCAAGGACGTCCCAGCACGACTGCGGACAGCGTTATCCTGGCTGTGCAAAGTGGACGTCCCTCGGAGACAAAAGGCAGACTTTTGGTATTCCGCAGTAACCATGCCTGCGTTCAAATTTTGGCAGTCAAGGGAAAAGGGACGTAGCTTGAGGGTTCCAACTGAACAGGTAGCAAGCTGGAAGGTTACTCGTGCTTCAGTTTAGCTCATCTTGCGCCAGAAAGTGCACAAGGGGACAAAATAGAAAGTGTCGGGCCAGTTGTACTGTAGGGGCATGTTTGTTTGTTTGTTTGTTTATTGGAACTTTTGACAATACAGGATTGTCATGGTGCTGAGGCAAAAGGTGACAGTAAGTCACCTGACCAGGCCCCTAGCACCAGACTACACTTGCAGCAGATGGAGCAGATGCAGCAGGCAGACTAGTGGTAGAGTGCTATAGTTAACCATAAACAAAAACAAAAAATACGCAGTAACTAGATCACTACACTACATACGCTCTTGCAATGAAAAATAAATAATTCGGAACATGCAACAAAAA